ACACATCCTAATGATGAGGTGCTCACGAAACAGCATAGGCAGATGAGCTATGAGGCCACCAACAGAGAATCACATGAAACCAAAGAAGGACTTACTTTTGGACTGATGATTTCCAAAGGAGACCAAAAAGATGTTTCCAACAACGATAAAACCTGTTGCAATCATGATCCTGCAGAAATGAAAGAAAAAGGCAACACAGGAAACACAAGTCACACATACACCGGGCGAGAGAGAGGAAGAGAGACAGACAGACAGACAGACAGACAGACAGACAGACAGACAGACAGACAGACAGACAGAGGCACAGACACAGACACAGACAAAGATACAGAGACAGACACACAGAAAGAGAGCATTAAAAAAAGTGGCGATGAGATGCATCACAGGGAAGCCCATTAGACAAACCCAGTCATTGGCAGAAGTTGAACAGAGTGGCCCCTTGCAACCAAAACATCGCCATGAAGCAATAAATTCTTGGGAGAAACAGTCAAGCTTAACTTTCCAATGGCACAGAAACCAAAATGCAATCTCCTGATTCTCCTCACAAAAACTGCTCCTTTTTCCCTTTCTGCCTCTTCCTCTCGTTCCTCCAGTTACGTTTTCCCTGCTTCAGTTGTCCAAAATTCTGGCCAGCAGCTATGCCAAGTCCATGAAGACTGACGATGTCTGGTTTCTCAACTTGTGTTTGAGCCTTGTTCGTATCGTGCACTCAATCTCCTTGTCCATCTTCGTCTCCGTGCATTGAAAACCTCTGTTTGTTCTAATTCTGTCTTCATTTCGAATGAAGAGCAAGCGTGTGTGTAATTGATGTACCCTCTTGCCTTGCCAGGGGAATAGGAACCAGACCAATGCTCCCCACAATGGATATGGAGCCAGGGCAATAAGGACCTGTTTTTTGGGGGGCGCGGAGGGTGGTGAAAGGATTCGCACTGCAGACACCCAGTCCCGGTCCCAGGGTCCCGACAAGCCCCAAGTCCCAGGGTCGTCCGGTAGGGTGGGCCGTAGGGGCTAGAGGACAAAGTCTCGTAGGTCGGTAGGTGTCGGTACCGAAGCGTCGCACGTCGGTAGGAGTCCGTCCGGTACCCGACAAGAAAAGTCCAGAAGCGTCCAGTCCAGTCCGACAGTGCCAAGTACAATTTTGCAGCATGTCCCAGGAAAGTCCGGAAGCTACCGGACCGACAGAATGTTTGCAGCAGACAGGCCGCAGCCGACCGGTACCGGTCTGAAGCAGGCCAAGCCAAGCCAAGCTAAGCGAAGTCAAGTCCTACATTTAGCTGCTACAGTGCAGCGGCTCAGCACTTGTTCAGTTGCGAGATGCGGAAGTGCTGCTGCTGCTTGTGCGTTATCGCAACTTGGGCACTGTGCGCCCGAAGAAGAAGAGGGCGCTTGAGAGATACTCCATAGCTAGGCTAGCTGTAGAGCAGGAGGATGGCGGCCATAGCCGCCAAAGTGTAAGCTACCTGAGTGGGTGTATCCAGGGTAACGATCCAGGGCAGAGAGAGAGTGAGGCAGAGCGAGTCAAGTCGGAGAGAGAGAGAGAGAGAGGGAGAGAGAGAGAGAGAAGGGAGACGTCATATCCGCTATCTGGTTGAGATCCGTTGTGCATGTGTGTGCAGCAGAGCCACTGGAGATGAACATTCTTGTATATTGATAATACTATCGGAGACGACATCTTCAAGTGTTGATTGTATCGCAATTTGGCTTCTCACGTGTCAACTCTCATGTGGATGTTCATTGATGTACGCGAGGTTGAACTTGACGAGTAGTTGGCTCATTTCAGTGGCAGGGGGGGTAAAGAAAAAGAAAAACGAGCAGCTTGTGCAATCCTCTGTGCATCTTTTCGTCTCTTGCTTTCATTCCTTGCTTACGGCATACTCACACTAGTACCTTTTCCGTCACAAATTTCTTAGGTTTGGTGAGCGTGCAAACATGGGTCTCATGGGATGAGAAGTCACACTGTGCCCAGTTTTCAGAAAGGACTAAGCCGGCAAACAACGCCGGTTTGCAATTTAGGGAGGTGGGCCAATCGCACAATTCACCACACAGTGCATATTGTCAGAAGATCTGTTTCAAGGATCAAGAAGCGAGAAATAGTGTGTTCGCAGACACCTCGGAGGGGGGGGGGGCAATTATATCATACAGGTAAGCACAATGGACAATGAAAAAGAAAACACTCAGTCCCAAAAAAACAATACATAAAACGATAAAACACAAAATACAATCTATAAAGGAAAAACTTCCAGGAAAGCACTTAGGTCAAACCTACCTGCCAGTGACAGTCTCCTTTAACACAAGGTATGCGAATGCGACATTCGAAATGAATTGAACCGACCCCAGCGCAGCCAGCAAGGACTGCATGAAAAGGAACGACCGAACAAACAACAACATCCCAAGAAGGCAAGAGGCAAGCCAACACAACATCAGAGAGAAGACAAGTAAACACACTCAGCTCCTAATAGCCAGCTGGCATAGGCAACAACACAGCCATCAATCAAGAGGGGTTGAGGACTTACCAGCTTGTCAGCAATCAGAAAGGATAAGTGAACCTGGAGTAGGCAACAACACAGCCATTAATCACACGGCTGAGGACTTAGACTACTAGCTTGTCAGCAATCAGAAAGGATAAGCTACCCAACCTGTCAGATGTCAGAAAGGATAAGATTATAGATCATTATAACCCAAGCAATGAGCTTTCAATGTGCGAGTCCACAGCGCATGCTGCCTCAAAAGGAAATGACGCCCAGCTGACACTCCGAATTTCCGAAGCGATAATTGAGTGTCAACTGTGAAGCAAGGCATCCACCACGACGATGGCAGTATCCGCAAGTGTGGGTTATATAAGTTATAACTTGACATCTAGGCTACCAGGGTGGCCCGGGACCACTTGCCCGGTCAGGCCAAACAAAGATTAAAAAAAATAAAAATAAATTATTTTTTTATTTCAAAATTGGTAAAGAGAATTTCGATATGACCCTGAGGTGTCATGACCTTGTGGGGCTGCGGTAGGGATAGGTTTGGCCGAGAGTGCCTTGCTTAGCCCGTTTGGCCGCAGCAAATGATGTACCAGACGCTGGGCCCGTTTCCCAGTTATATGATAACTGCTTTGTCCCCGAAAAAAAAAAAAAAGTTGTTCAGTTTATTTTTCTGCATAACATTTTTTTTTCAGATTTTTTTGAATTTTTTTTAGGCTACCAGCCGGGCCGTCCGCGTCACCTTCTTCGCCCGGGCGAGACAGCCGTGCAAGGACCAAAGAAAGTCCCAGCAAAAAAAAAAAAAAAAAAAAAAGGGAAAAAATGTTATGCAGAAAAATAAATTGAACATTTTTTGCCTCCGGGTCACATCGAAATACTTTACCAAATTTAAAATAAGAAATAAAACTGAAAAACATTTTTGTTATTGTGTTTTTTTTTTACCCGGCCGGGCAAGTGGTCCCGGTCCACTCTGGTGGCCTAGGATTTTTTTTTATTTTTTATTTTTTTTGCTAGGACCATCTTTGGTCCTTGCACGGCCGGGCCACCCGGGCAGAGAAGGTGACCCGGGTGGCACAGCTGGTAGCCTAGCTTGCCATGTGTTTTTCGGATCTTTTT